ATAGTCCCAGCTACTTGGGAGGCGGAGGCATGAGAATCGCTTAAGCCCAGGAGTTGGAGGTTGCTGTGAGCTGTGATGCCACAGCACTCTACCCAGGGTAACAGCTTGAGGCTCTGTCTCAAAAAAAAAAAAAAGACAGCGCCTATGGCTCAAAGGAGTAGGGCTGTGGCCCCATATGCCAGAGGTGGCTGGTTCAAACCCAGCCCTGGCCAAAAAACTGCAAATATATATATATAATCAGTTCAGCTCAACTCAGACTATCTCAAGTGCCTTTAACATAACACACCATACTTTGTAGAGAGCAGAAGTCCTTTGTGCATCCTTTCCATTTGTCACATACAACAGGGTCAAGATTTAATAAGGTAAGTAACTGTTACTGCATTGTTGAGGATGGTCTTGAGTGAAACTGGCTTTTTAAACGGCAAGTTCCTATCATTGAGTAGCTTCAGAGTGTGGTCCTCCTGTCTTAATTTGTGCTAAGGCTGTAGCTTTTACCTACTACTGCTTTTGTACCCTCAATGAAAAGGCCAATAACGTCTATTATGATGAAAGGGTTTTGATTTCCCAGACATCCTACAAGGGGCTCATGGACCACCACACTTCAAGAAGAACCACTGGACTAGGATATTACTTTGCTAAAGCCAATGGAATATTGTCTCTAGCTTCTTAAATGCCCTGCAAGCCATCTTCTCCCCTTCCCTCTCATGCCAGTAACGTTTCAGAGCAGGATCCCAGCACTAGGCCTGCGTGCATCCTTCATGCTGAAGCAGCATTTGGACCTTGGGTGCCTACCTAAGGTCAAGGGTGCAGGCTGGCCACATCCCTGATGGTGCCCTTTCCTCCTCAGCTCTGAACCATCACATTCACTCAGTGAAGACAGCTTCCATCGGGACTTTAGGAAGGAGCCGGCCTCCTATGCCAGTGGTTGTTCCCAGTGCCCCTGAAGTGCAGGAGACCACACGGATGCTGGAAGACTCCGAGAGTGTAAGTTCATGGGGCCATCTGAAATATGCTGAAGACTTGAGGACTTGGTCTGCTTTCTCTGTCATACCCACGCTGGTGTATATCTTAAGTTAGCTCATTGCACCAGCTCAGCTAATAACCACTCCCCCAACCTCCCTTCCTTTCAGTTCTGTCCCTCTGTCTGGTCCTCTTTTCTTGGTTTGAAACTATCCACATATTCTTTCACCTCTCAGCTCTTCTCCCTGACCTCTTCTGAGCAGGATGTGGCACAAATAAGTGCTCTCAAAACAGAAATCCCCAGAGTCTCTCCTTGATCTTTCACCCTCACATTCCAGTAAAAATGTTCTACCCCTCATTTCCAGGTACAGTAGTGGCCAAGAGGAAAGCTTAGGGCCAGAGATTCAGGGCCATACCAACTGTGCTGACTGTGGCAGAAACCTGGAAGGGGCAAGCAGTGGGGCCTATGGCTTGAGAGGTCATTGTGATCTGGGGAGTGAGTGTGGGGAAAAGGCATTGTACAATGTCGAGACATGGGACTAGTGACCTTTGGTACATCCTGCCCCAGCCAACTCCCTGAGCCAGCCTGGGTCTTGGTAAGCCAGTCTTCTAGGGCAGTTTTACCACTTATCACTGGACAGTTTGGCCTCTGTCTATGGTAACAGCGTTCTCTTTTCCACAGAGCTATGAACCAGATGAGCTGACCAAAGAGATGGCCCACCTGGAAGGACTAATGAAGGACCTAAATGCCATCACGACAGCATGACGACCTTCACCAGGACATGACTCCAAACCAGAGTCTAGAAGTCTTGGGACTTAGCCTTGAAAACAAGGAATTGTACATTGTACGAGAGGACAGCACTTGAGGACAGAGTGAGCCAGCGGACCAGCCAGCGCCTCCATGTGGGGCTGGCCCCAGGCATGGCCACCTGCCTTCTTCTGGTCAGCCTGGAAGAAGCCTTCATCGAGGCAGCTTCCCTTGGCCTGCTGAGACCCTGCAGGACTGGGCACCATGGGCCAAAATTTGTGTCCCGGGAAGAGGCAAGAAGTGCAACTTGCGCTTCACTCTGGTCAGGCCATGTCTTCGTGCTGTGACTGCATCAGCTTTATGGAGTGTAGACATTGGCATTTATGTACAATTTTATTTGTGTCTTATTTTATTTTATCTTCACAAACAAAAACACTATCCAAAACTAAGAAAGTCCATGGTGTTCTCCACAAGTGGTTAACATTTGACTGCTTGTTCCGATTATGTAAGGAAAGTCATTGACGGTGTGGGTTGTTCCAGGGGTTGACTTGTTTTATGGTTTTGTTTTTATTTTTTAATTCTGAGTCATTGCATCCTCTACCAACTGTTAGTCCATCACTTTGAGGGGGAGGAATGTTGCATTGCTGTTTGTAAGGGTTTTTTTATTATTTTTTATTATAATTATTAAAGGCCTGACTCTCCTCTCATCACTGTGAGATTACAGATCTATTTGAATTGAATGAAATGTAACATTGAAAAGACTTGTTTATTACTTTCTGTGCAGTTTCAGTATTGGGGTGGGGGTTGGGGGTTGGGAATAGGAAATGGAGGGGCTGCCGAGGTCCTGTGAATGTTTCGGTCATTGTACTTTCTTCCAGAAGCCTGCAGAAAAATGGAAGTGTCCACTTTCTTGTCCTTTCCTGGCATGTCCATCTTTATTGTCACTGTGTTGCAACTGGAGTTTCATTTGAATCTGGTTAAAAAAATTCTGTGCAATAGTTGGGTTCGAGGATTTAGCTGCCCTGATTTCTTGGCCATCGCCTGGGGAGGACATCCATGCTAGGACCCGGAGGCTATATTTCTAATGGCAGGAGTGATACAGAATAAGGCAAAAGCATGACTGTGTCCCTGGAGATGAGAAAGCAGTGGGTGCAGATGCTCTCCTGCTGCTATTGTGCGCTCCCTCTGGGGAAGCTGGAGCTTAAGAAGGAGCTTGGTTCCATGTGTAACTCCTGCTGCTCTCTAGTTCCGTCCTCCAGTGCTCACGTCCACCATTTATAGCCCCATCAGAAAGAGTGTAAGCAAGAATGAGGCCAGGCAGAGCAGCAGCACCCACAAGGCTGCCGCACATCTTTCAGTAGTCAAACAGTATTCTTTAAGTAGCAGGGGACAGGGGGCAGTGTGCCTCCCTCCATCCAGCACTCAGCTAAGCCCTGATCAGGATGAAGTGGTGGGAGGTTTCTGAGGTTTATTGAGCAGCTCAGCCACACATGGACGCCTTTGCCTTTGCAAATAGTTCTGAGTTATATTTCTTAAAAAGACAAGAAGCTGAGGTGTGTGGTTTTTTGAAATATTAAAAATAGATAATAGAAAATACAGGATAGACCCTCAGGCATCTTCCTCTACTCCCCAGTGAATCCCCAGAAGACAGTGTTGGAAGGCATTGTAGATGGTAAATCAGGCTTCAGTTCTATAGCCAAGCAGAGATCAGCCTGTAAGACCACCAGTGGGTACCCCAGCCCACCTGCCCAGGTCCTGCACACTGCCTGGGCCCTGCAGGTACCTCACAGCGGCCACCTGCCTTCAAATATGGCTTATTTCCCTTTTTTAGGTCTTATCACACATTTGCTTTTCTATAAGATGAGCTCTTTGTATGTATTATTTTGGGGTTAATGAAAAGCGCAATGCTGGAACTCTTCAACTGCCATGCAAGCTGGTCACAGGGGGTGCCAGGTGGCATTCTGGAAAACCAGTGCACTTAAACTGATCCTGAAAAGAGCAGTCAGAGCACTCTGGCCACCAGGAGGGCTAGATTCCCCAGAAATTGTCTTACCTTTTTGCCCATAGAACATGCTCTGTTTTGGGCATTCCCTCCCGTGAACCCTGACACCTGTTACCTCAGGGCCTTGGTACCTAGATACTGCCACAGAATTGGGGGGAGGGGGGTGGGGCCTATTTTTAAATAAAATAACTCTTCCAAGTTGGGGATTTTTTTTTTATTAAGAAAAAGGAACGCTATTCTGTATTGCACCTTTTCACAATTTAATACATTTTCTTGTGATTTTCGAAACTAAACCATTGTGTGTCTTGTAGTGTCCTAGTGGAGCTGCTGCTCAGTAGCTTCCTTCAGGAGGATTCGGAACAAAGGTGTCTGCTGCCTGCTGGAGGGGCCTGGAGGACTGCTGGGACTGGTGTCTGTACACACTTGTTTGGCCTTTTCTGTAGTTGATGCTGTAAACTATATGGCTTTTTAAAAACAATTTCATGTTTTTATTTAGTATTGGAAAGCCAATACACTTTTTTAATCCAATCAAACTCTGGTCTGGTCAAAGAGTTATTTTCTTTTGTCCTTAAGAATCCAACTTTGGGGCTCCCATTTCCCAGCCTCAAATTGACTTCACCATTGCCTGAGCAACTATAAAGCATTGAGGGGACCCCAAGAGGGATGGCAGGGGAGCCTGGAGGTTGCAGTTGTTGTTCTGGGGACCACCAGCGCCAAAGATGAGTCCTGTCCCCTCCCCGCAGTTGCTGCCCTGCAAGACTGAGTGAGCAGCTGGAGGAGTCAACCTGGCAGCTGGCAGCAGGGTGTCCTGATCGGTACGCTGGCCGAGTCCCTTGGGGGCAGCTCACTCTGTCAGCACACAGACTAGCGTCCTCGTCCTGAGTGGGCTGCCCTCCCACACCCAGCCCCTCCTGATGCCAGCGGCAGGTGTCTCCAAGGACCCCCGCTTTCTCTCGCCACGTTCCCTATGTAGGATTCCTCATGGGTCTCTGGGCCTGGGCCACGGAACCAATACTAGTGACTTCAGCAGCCGTAGGTCTGCCCTCCAAAAGCTTGCCCTGGGAGTGAGGGCTTGGCGCGGGAGGCGGAGCACACACAGCGTCCTTCCCCGCCGGTCCGCTGCCCCGCCAGAGTGCTTAGGAGGCCAAAGCCCATCGTTCCCCGTTAGCAGCGCCCCACTGGCCCCAGGATGAAGTCTGAGCTGCGAAGTATGGGCTTGTCTGCCGCAGCCTCCAGGTCCCACCTCGTCGCCTGGTGCACGGGAAGCCGCGCGCGGCGCCCTCGCCCCTCCGCACCCCTAGATGGCGCTCTCGGCGCGTTTTACGGAGACGGAGCGGTCAGGTCTTTTTTCTCACCCGCCAGCGGGCTCAGCACAGACGAGATTAATTTCTCACTCCTTTCTGAACGCTTCGTGCCGGGGGCAGTTTCTGACAATAGTAGTTGCTCATCTCCGGGGTGGGTGGACAGTCAGAGGACTTCTGGCCTGGAGCGTGTTGAAAGGCGTCCCTCGCCCCCCACCAGCCTGCCCACCCGGCCGGCCCCGCTGCTGTCAGCAGCTCTGGGCCTTCGAGGGCGGGAGGAACCTCAAATACAAGAACCACCTGTCAGCCTGACAGCGCTAGGAAAAGGTGCGCGGTGGGTGCTGGGGACTAAGACGAGGTGTCCTCCGGATTTGTCCTAAAATAGCGTCGTAGCCGGGCGCGGTGGCTCACGCCTGTAATCCCAGCACTCTGGGCGGTGGGTGGATCGCCTGAGCTCAAGAGTTCTAGACCAGCCTGAGCAAGAGCGACCCGGTCTCTACTAAAAATAGAAAAATTAGCCGGGCATTGTGGGCGCCCGTAGTCCTCGGTACTTGGGAGGCTGAGGCAAGAGGATCTCTTAAGCCCAAGAGTGGAGGTTGCTGTGAGCTGTGATGATGCCACAGCAGCACTTTACCAGCACTCTACGGAGGGTGACAGTGAGACTGTCTCAAAAAAAAAAAAAAGATAAGCATCATGAACAAGGCTCTTTCCCCCGCCCCCTCAATCTCAGCCACCTTCTTGCCATGGGTGTAGAGTATCCTTCAGGAGAGCAGCAGTAAACAAGCCACCAAAGTGGTGACAGGTTGGTGAGGCAAGGATCCCAGAGGGGCCACGCCTAACCATTCTGACAGCAGTTGACTGATTTACACTTATGTCCCCAGCTACTAGGGGCTGAAGGAAAAGAATAAAATGTTCATGATCTTTTAAAAGTATGTAATTGTGAAAAATGCTATTTGAAACAATTACCCTCCAAGCATAGTGGATGATGTTCATCTCAAGACATTCTGCTTAACTAGGAACTTGATTTGGAAATGAAAGGAGGCCTAGAGCTGAGCTAAGAAAAGGATGGAGGGAGAGCTTGCTGCAGTGGGAGGTCAGGAGAATTCAGAGTTTCCTGAAATAATTAGGGTGAAGGTGGGGGTGCTGGCAGTATAATCAACAAGGCAGAGAGAGAAGGAGGGTGTGTGCAGGACGTACCCCAGTGGGAGAAGGCTGGCCTCAAAGAACTTTTTTTTTCATTTTATTTATTTATTTATTTATTTCTGAGACAGAGTCTAATTCTGTCACCCTAGGTAGAGTGCCATGACATCATCATAGCTCTCAGCAACCTCAAACTCATGGGCTTGAATAGTCCTCTTGCCTCAGCTTCCCAAGTAGCTGGGACTACTGGCATGTGCCACAATAACCAGCTTATCAAAGAACTTTTTAAATAAGATCACAGAGGTATTTAATGGTGCTTTCTGTTAAACAGACCTCCTCCAGCTCCCCAAATCTCATGTAATGTCTGCATAAGGCCTTGCTTGAGTTACTAGTTACTCCCCTAGTGAAGATAAGCGCATCTGGGCCAACATAGTGATGGATGAAGCCTGAATCTGGCATGGCAAGGATGGTGTTAGTTCACTGGAGCCAGGAGCTCAGAGTCAGAAGGGAGCATAAGAATATAAACCCCAAAATTCACAGGAATCTAGAAGGCAAAGGGGAGGGTATGAGGGCTTTCACAGGTCAAGAAATGTGGGTTCCAATCGGGCTTATGCAGATTTTTAAGAGGCAGACTGACCTCGGCTGGTGTGTGGGTTTCCGTCATTTTACATTTCCACCCTCCCCAGCCCCTTGTTGCCAGGTGCCCGTCCCTTGCTAATGGGTCTACCTTCTGTGGACCTGGTCTCCCAAATGAGAAATAGGAGAGCCATTCTAAATTCTTCCCTCAACACCATAGCACACTGCTCAGCAAGTTCTGCCAGTGCCATCTCTCAGATGTCCCCCAGAGAGGCTTCTCCTTGTCTGTTAGACTCCTAATTAACCCCCTACTCAGCCTCACCAGCAGTGCGGTGACGATCCCCTGCTCACCACACAGGGGCTTTTTCTAACTCATATCTGATGTGTCTCTCTTGCTGAACACTGTTCAGTGGCACCATCTCCTCCCACCAGAACACAGCCCAATGCGACCCTGTCTGCCTCTTGCCTTTTACATGCCACTTAATCTGCTCCTTCATCCAAATTTAGCCCCAGTGATAGCAGTTTGCACTTGCAGAATAAGCTGTAATGTCCAGCCTCGGTACTATTTCTTCTGCCTTGGATTTTTCTCCCTATCCCCTGCCCTCACCATTGCCTTTCTCTGCCTGTAAGTGTCTAATCTTTTAAGACCCAGCCCAACCATCCAGTCCCCTGAAGGTTCTTGTTCGTATTTCTGTCTCCTCCAACACACTATGACCTCCTTAAGGAAAGCAATCCTGCTTGT